TGACTTCCTAACGAAACGTACGTTGCTTCGATACGGTACAATAAAGTGCTTGTCAGCTCGACGCCCTCGTTCCCTCGCCCGAAAAACCCGTTGCCGCGGAAATGACTCAAAGAGCGGGCCGACGCGACAATAAACGCGGACGGCGATCGCACGGTTTGAATCGACGCTAACGAGATTTATGATTGGCTTAAATTTTAAGAGAAAGCTTTCGATGCCGACGACGACGACGACGACGACGACGACGATGAACGGACACGCATAGAAGCCCGGGAATGCGCGACGCATTAATCCGTTCACGGCCGATCGCGCGCACCGCTGCATTTTACCTTCGTGTTTATTCTCAAAACGTCATGTACCGTCGTACATACATTCTCCGGAGCGTGCATATAGCGAGAAACACAGAGGGGAAGAAAAGAGAGGAAATCGACGGGCGGCATTACGCCACGCCGACTGCGTTCCCGTAAAGCGTAAACGCGCGCGCGTGAGGCCGCGCGAAAATTTCTCACGCCTCTTTTTTTTTTTTTCCAAGTCTCCACCGACGGACGGACGGACGTCGTCGCGTCGGTGGAAGGACTCGCGCGACGACGACGACGATGAGTGCGATTAAGTAACGGCGAGTTATATACCGAGATAAGGATAAGAGGCTGCGAACTGCGCGAAGAGGGACTCTCGATTATTACTGCTATTACGATTATTACTGTTATTGCGTGATCGTTATTAGTCGCGATAATTAAGTCTGCGTGATCGTTACTAGTCGCGATAATTAAGTCGGTAAGCTGAATCCTGCGGAGAGAGACGCGCCTCGAATTCTTCTGACCTGGATTCTGCTTGTGAGAGAAGACTATTTACCTTTCTCTGCGAGAGGTAGGAATTTATTTTTTTATTTTTTTTTTGAAAATATTATCTTTCATTTTTTTTGTATAAAGCTACAAATACAATATTTGAATTAGAGATGAGAGGCTCGCGACCGAAGAGGATCGGACGAATTAGGCTCGATTACCTACCCTATGAGCTCGTCGAAATCACGCGGACGTTCTTTTTCACCGGGAGAAGTGCGAGGTTCCGGCCGCGCTTTACGATCATCCTCATTAACAGTATAAATAGCCTAATGGTTTTCTGCTAACGCGAGGCACACGTACATACATGTATATACATACACGCATCGCCGGCGGCGGCCGTCTCTCATTACGATTATCCGCTTCATCCGAGGCGCGTTCGGCGCGCCACGCTGAAACGTCCATTATCCGGGCATCCGGATATCTGTCATTGGCCGTATACGCCAATCGGAAGGCCCCGGCAATTGAAGACATCCGGGGCATACTTGTTGCATCAAAATTGAGACCTGCGCTTCTGGCTCCTGGCTGCATGCGGACCGAAGGACGCGACGCCCCGCGACGGGGGACGCACTCGTATCTCCCATTCGAACGCGCTTGGCAAAACAAATAAATAAATAAATGCGAATGTCAAAAAACGCGTTCCTCTCTTCACTCCGGACGCGTGGGAGAAGAGACGCCTCCTACGACGTTGCGCATTGCGTGCATTCCGCGTGGCGAATCGCGAGTAGCGTCCGGCGCGAATCGCGTATCTCTCGAGGTTTCTCTCGAGGATCCGCATAATTCACGGGTGAACGTGCGCGTTCGAGAGGATCAATTGACTGCTGGCAGTTAAATAGAGAACGTTCCGTCGGCTATTCGTCGGAAAGATCGAAAGTGCATACGAATGTCTCTCCTCGCGGGACGTGCGCCTTTTGAGATATAGATGCTCCCCCCCCCTCCCGCCGTCACGTCGCGGACGCGGTAATACGTTTGCATAAACGTGAGAAACGGCATTGGTTGCACAACGTCGAAGGGACTATTAACGTTATCGCGTAACCATTAACGTTAATACGCGGACATTTGCGATATAATACTGCGAATTGCAACTTATAACGGATTATAGATGCAATTTCTGCGCGTTCGCGTATAATCATCGCGTAATTAGCCGATCGATTTAACAGCTGATCTTCTCGATTGAAATCGTTTCGAGGCAACGGTGGCACTAATAGCTTCCAATAAGCGATTGAGGGAGGAAAATTCCTGAGCGAGCCTTATTAGTTTATTCGAATACTTATCATCGGACATATACGAAAAGGCAACGCGATAGACCGGGCTGTTCCCCGAGGATTTATCGCGTGTGGGATACACGAGGCTTCAAGAAGCAGACATTTCTCGTCTAAAATATAGCCAGGCCAGGTCGCAAGAATGCGCTTTCTACGCTCGTCGGGCCCCGCGAATGCCTTATTTATTAACATTATTTATAACAAGACGGATCGCGGACTCCCACGTTCCCACGACACGGCCGGCGCGGCGCAATGGCGACGACGACGACGACGACGGCCGTCCACCGTCCGGCGGCGCGTTGTGCGTGAATTTCGAACTTTACCGCGGTAAGAAACGATATATCACTCTCACAGTGATTTCTCTCTCATCTCTCGAATCGTCGTCGGTGGACATCGGCGGACGGTGACAGGTACCTCCGCGCGCGTGGGCGTTAATATCAGCATAAAGTTTTGCGGTGGAGCATCGACGCGCGTGGCCGGCGTAACAGATTTATGCGCGTCACGTGTTGCCGAAGAAGAGGACAAGATTTAAGGAGGAGCTCGATTTAATGTGACGAGCGACCGGAGCGACACGTGTAAATCATCGTTATCGTATAATTACATGTTTCTTTTCTCTTTCTCTCTTTTTCTTTCTCTTTCTCTCGACGCGACTGTAATATTTCAAGACTCGTTCTCCGCGGTGGCCGCAACATTAGCATACAATACGCGAGATCGATATTCGATAGCGATTAAGAGTAATAACTCCGCTACCGTATCTCCACGACGGAGTGGCGAGGGCGAGGGCGAGAGCATTCGCGGAAATTAATTCGGCGATTTGTAATAATTGAAAAAATTGGGGTCGTTGAGGAGAGGAGGAGCTCCACGTCGCGTCGCTTCCTGGATGCTCTCGTGACTCACTCGCTTGCTCGCTCGCTCGCTCGCTCGAGCGGCGCAATTCTCGGGCCGCGCGTTAGCCCCGCGCGCGCGTGCGAGATCGCGGCGGTCCACAAATTTGTTTTCGCGCGCCAATCCCGCGACCGGAACCCGGGCCGAGCGAACAGTTTAAATGATTCTCAAGCGGTTAAGTGACTGGTAAAAAGACACTGCGGAGGCGTCTCGAGTCGCGACGCGTCTCTTCGCGGATCCGCCACGATGATTCATCACGCGCTCTCGCGCGTCGTCGTCCCCTTGCTCGCTTCGACGGCGCCACTTCCGGCTGCCGTTGTCGCACGCCGACTACGACGACCACGACGACGCAATTCTACGCTTGGTGCAGCGACCGAGATGCGGTCTCGTCTATCCCGGAGATTCCGCGATATCGTGACGATTAAATCACGCGCGTATATAGCGAAGAGCGACTTAATTTAATGCACAAGGAAGTGATTCCGTATAATCTAACATGTAATTATTTATAACGCGTCTTTCATGTTGAGATCTGATTCAACATATATATAAAAAATATGCAAATTCGGTACATTTTTATTTCAATCAAAATCACTTTTATCGATTCAATCTAATTAATATACCTCTCTTGTTTTACCAAGCAGAAGTCTGGAATCTGAAAACAGAAATGAAATCAAATCCGTGACTGTATCCTAATTAACATATTTTTGTGCGAAAGATAATATTTTAGTCGCGTCGAAAACGAAGAAAAGTCTTTGATGCAAAATTATGTAATAATATGAAGGGTGATAAATAGTAGAATAATAAAAATCGCAGTAGCTCTTAAGCTCTATCGCCTTTCATAAGGTAGATGGTTTTCTTACTGTAGAACCGGGACTCTGAACCCGAGAGTTCTCACACCCTCCAGTGGTCCATTATCCTCCGTCTGCTGTACCGCGCGTCAGTGGTCGCGGCCTCAACGAGCTAATTTTGCGAGCGCCGGCTCGTCGTCGTCTGGTCTTTCTCACCGCGGCGGCGCGCGACGGGGGGAGAGAAGGGCGCTCGCCGGTTGTTTCATCGTCGTGAAACACAGTAGCCACAGCGGGCACGAGGGAGAGCATCCCACTGGAGGAAACGGGATCGAAGGCTACCGCGGCGGTAACGGGGAGGAATCGGGGAAAGAACGTATAGAGACGCGACTAGAAAAACGTGAGGGGTGGAATGGTGCAGGGAATAGGTTGAGCGAGATCTCGGGGAGGATGGGAACGCGCGGGCAGGCGAGAAAAAGGTCATTACTTAATCGGGTCGAGTGAGAGAGAACGGCGGCGCGGCGTCGTGACCCCAGAAAATTAGATAATTTCGATGTCACGTCCGCGAAGTAATTATTGCTCTCGAGTACGACCTCGGCGGACGTAGCCGAGGAATCAATTAAACGGACCGAAAGTTCAGCCGGCCGAGTTCAGGCGACCTCGCGTCTCGCGCGCCTCTCGAAGGAGAGACATCTCGACCGACATCTAGGACGGCATCTGGTCCACGGTCCCTTTTATTGTTTATCTCGAATCTTTGAATTCTGCAAGGAGGCTTTTGAAACTCTTCCTCGATTAAAAAAAAAACCAACATTTTATATCATTTATTTTGCTTTATTTTGGAAATTGTAACATTTGAAAATTTTAGTAAACTACATTTGTAATTATTAAAATTTTTCAATTTCTTTGACATCAATTTCAAAATTTATGCTATATTTGTAGAAATTTGTTATATTAATATTTAAAAAAAATCCTTCGTTACAGTATATTTTATACGCAGCAATTGGAAGACGCTGAACGAGCGCGTGCACTACACTGCAGACGCATTCTATAAATTTCTATCTGTAAAAGTTCCAAGAAGCGAGAACGCGCTTCCGGTAGTTACTCCTTACTCGCGCCGTATATATGTGCGTTGTAATTGTCCCGCCGCTATTATACACGCAACGTTACGTAAGCGGCCGTTTCTGAGCCGATGATGAGGCTTTAAGGAAGCCATTATGGCGTTTTGTTTCCAGGCGAACGTGAGCCAGGCCGAGTACGAGAGAGCGCACAGAGAGTACCTGAAACAAGTGCAGCTGTCGCACGACGGGCAGAAGTTTCGAGCGCGACGGGACCTCCATGTATTCCAGGCTGCTGGTAAGACATCACCTTATAAGCTCTCCCGTACCGCGTCAAACTGGAAGTCGGATTCGCGCGGCCACTTTCGCGGAAGCGGAGATTATTTACGTCGCCGCGTACAGTATATTCCTTTTTCCTGCGAACTTACACGTTTATGGTGTATAACTGACGATTCTATCTCTCGTGCTGTTTATTTATTTAATAATTACTGCGAACGGAACATTAAACAAATTAAACAAATTAAATGTAAAAATATACACGCGATATAGACGGGATTTTCCAGCAACTGTAAGTCACGAAGACAATCTTCAGTTGCGGGAGGATTATTTTTAATCGCATGACTTCTCCTAAAGATGTAGATTTTACAGGAAGAAAAGAGCCGAGTAGACGTAATTGATCAATCGATCGCGATTAATCTTAGAATCTTGGCTGCGGAGTTTCCTCGCTCTTTCGCCTCTTCCGTGAATTAGGTCTGAGCGGAGATCAGCCGGTTGCACGCGAGAAACCTCCTCCGCGCGCATATTCGCGGTTATACGTGTCCAACAAAAACAAATGCGGAAAACGGGGTTGCGAGCGCGCGGCGGGGAGCGGGACGCAGGAGGAAGGTGCAACGATGCACAGTTTTCCCGCCGCGGCCTGTCGATACGTCACAATGCAGCTCGCGCGGCGGAGGCGCATTCAAGTCCCGGTGCGGCGCGGCGCGGCGCGGCGCGACGTAGCGTTTCGATTTCACCGTCGTCATTTCTCTCTCTCTCTCTCTCTCTCTCTCTCTCTCTCTCTCTCTCTCTCTCTCTCGGCAACTCGCTGGGCGGCCGATCGATCGTTCAAGGATGGGCAATAAAAAGTCGCGCCTCGAGGAAGGAAAACGGCCGTGCAGAAAACGGGACGTCATCTCCTTGCCGCGGCGCGAGAGCAGCGGCGCCGACGATTCGACGCATGGATATTTACTTTTCCTATTATACGTGTCGACGAACCCGCGTCGCGAGAAATTTTTCCGCGAGCCCCGCATCTCGTCGATCTCGCGTTCGACAAGAGACCGCGCGGATCTCGCGAAAGTTGCGGGAGGACCCCGAAAGAGCGATCGATCGACCGACCGATCGCGCGCGCGCTTTCGCGACGGCGGATCCCTCGCGAGCAGAAGGAAAAAGAAGCTTGCCGGAAGCGAGATCTAAAAGCGTGTTTCTTCAAGGATACTGGGAAAATATACGCGCGCTATTATTGGCCGTACACCTAATTTCTCTCGCGGCGGCGCGCGGACCGACAGAGAGGAAAAATACTTCGCGAAGAGCGAAGCGCGGTAGCTTAATAACGCGCTGAAAGGCACCGTCGTCAGGCATTGCCGGATGATGTCTCGGCAATCGAGGTGATGGTCGATACGCGCGAGGATGTGTAACATACAGAATGCCGTGCCAGGTTGTCGACCCCGTGAAACGCCAAACGTCAAAACGGCCGAATTGATAGCCGTGACGGTACAATAGGTTGACTTGTCCATTACGTTATACATTCCCAAGTAGCGAGGTGACGTCAAATAGCGCTTCAATAATTCTTGACGTCTCATTGACGTTAGAAATGTCATTAAAACGTTATTAAGATGTCATTTGACGTCATCTCGCTATTTGAATCGCGATCGCGTATTATTTATGTATTATTTTGTTTCTATTTATACGCGATTTGTAAGCTATTTATTCGGAATCGAAGTACGATTATAGCGCAGGTATTTTAAGAACTGATAGAAATAGGAGCAGGGAAATCTCTGCAGTTTTCCAAGCTATTAATAATAATAAATGTTAATAATATTCGTTTATTTTCCGCGTTAATTACCTAAATTATCTAAATGATAAAATTAATAACGATCGCAGAGGCAAATTAATATTAACGTGACGCAACGCGTGATGACACAATAAATTACAATAAACTAATCATCAATTTCCGCAACATCATCAGGATTAAACTCTCGTTCGAGTTTTGATTCAATTGTTCTTCGAGCTCTTCAATTTATCCTATTCAAAAAAAAAAATGGGGGAAAAAAACGATTACTCACTCGGTCGCTTCAATCATTTCGACCGTGCCAGATTCGCGAAATCCGAGCAACGCGGGTCAGTCCGCCGCGTCGACAAATTAAGACGTGGACGCCGCTAATGAATCTCACGAGCGGCGACGGCTCGTCGGCGCGCGACTCCGCTCAATTACGGCCGCCCTGAAAATAGTGGGTCAAAGAGATAAAAGTCGGCACGCATCTGGACGGGACGAGAGATGGGACGGGACGCGACCACCGCGGTGTGCGCCGCGGTTCTACGCCGGGTGGTACGGGCCGCACACAACACGTATGAGTACTAATACACGCACGCCGCCCGAGTGGGATCCCGTCCCGTCGAGTCGAAACCAGTCTGAAGTGGGTACTTGTCTATACACCGCGGCAACGAGGCTAGAGGTGCGCAAAGCAGAAGGAGAAGAGAAGAGCAAAGAAGGAGGAGGAGGAGAAGGAGGATAGTCTCTCTTGATAGCTGGCTTCTCAGCTCGAAGCGCGCGCGCGCGATGGACCCCGTCGTGTGTGCACGGCTGTTATTATGAAATAGAAATTCCGACCGCGGCGGAATGCCGAACGACGAGTTCCCGAATGCAATAAGAACGAATCGCATGGGGCAGAAACACACCGCGCGGTGAACAAGAAGTAGTCTGCCTTGCTTTATCCGCGAGACGTTGCGAGGATGCGCGCCGATACGCGAGGGATCGCGAAGAGGCGGACTCCCCCTTCCATCCCCCTCCTCTCCCCCCCCCTCGCTCTTCTTCCTCCTTCATCTTTTGAACCACCGTTGCTCGGGATTTATTTCAATTGCCCTCAGGTACCTCTCGCTATGAGTACTTAATGATCGCAGCTTAATTAGCCCGAATGATACGCAAGAAGTTAATAAATGTAAAGGAGAAGATTTAAGGGGAGGGATTAGACGCAAAATTCGAATTCGTCCCCGAAAAATTTTAGATTTATGAAGAAGGGGTCTCCGATTATATCATCCGTTATCAATATGTAAGTGAAGTCCGAAATATCGACAATTTCGACGATTCTACGAAGAATGACCGCCGACTAAATGTGGGGCACCGGGATGCAGATGCCGCCCAGTTGTATTCCTCGGACTATTACATGTCAGATCGATTGGGCTAATTTTGGATTTTCTAGGTCTGAAAATACACGCCGTATCATCGTCTAGATAGCTTGTTTTTTGAGCGTCGCGCTTCTGCCACTATAATGTGGCAGTGATTAACGCGGCACCTTTCTGGCTAATTTTTTTTTTTTATCGATTGAATTAGAATCCTATAAGTTACATCTCCTCCGTAATTCCAATCTATCAGGCTGCCGTTTATTTTTCAGCTTATCTTCGAATTTTTTTTTCATACATGGCACCGCGGCATCGTCAAACCGGATCGAAGGTCCTCGTTATTAGAATCTCCCGTAAGTAGGAAACGTTATACGTCTTCGATTCCTGGCTCGAAGGCCTAGCATTCGATCGAGACCTCAATTCCTTCAAATCGTTGCCCGATTACGTGTCGCGCGTTCGGCACGCGCGTGTCCCAAGTTAAGGCCGCCTTAACGACGCTGTTTTGATCCGATCTCCCAGTTCCGGAGCGCGGTTTCGGAGAAGCTCCGCGGAGTCTACGCGGTGGGTCACCTGCGCGTAAATCGCGGCACGCGGCGGATTTATTTTCGTAGCGTGCCGTCGTGTGATACAGTCTAATAATAGGCGACGGCACGCCGAACCGGCGCGATTGACGGCCGCACGCGCGCGCGAGATGTTATTTGGGGTAATATCGCCCCGCGATTCTTCTTCCCTCCTTCCCTCTCCTCATCGCCACTCTCGAATTCTCAACGGGTGACGAGGGTGCCATATACACGCGCGCGCGCGGGGGCAACACGCGCCCGCCCTCGCCTCCGGGATCGTTACGGCAGAAACGATCCGGATTCCGCGGATTCTTGGGCGCTTTATCGCCCGGTTATTTTGCGCGCCGATACCTGGTCAACCGCCAAACGGGACCGCCGTCGCGCCGCGCCACCTCACCCCGCGCGGTCTATACCGTCTTCGGCCGGCTATCTGTCGCGATTCATCGCGCCGAGGCCGCCGGTTGATTGAATGAAACCGCCGCGTGCTGGCGATGCGTCAGACGCGAGACGCGCGGCACCGCGGCCGCTGCAGGTGCTCCCAAAATTGATTCTCGCGAGAGAGAGAGAGAGAGAGAGAACACGCGCGTGTAATCCTCCGGATATAGAAATCCATTTCCTCAGGAATCTTTCCGCGGAATAGGTGCCTTGTATTCGCCTTGTATTCGGCGTGGTGTTTGCGATCGCTTCTCGCGCGCCCGAAATTCCTGATCGCGGAGGCGTTGACGAAAGTAATGGTGTATATAACGCGATAAACGTGATTTTGATGCTTTCATCTGGAGATAATCCCCCGCACGGAGGAATTCCCGTCATTTATTTTAAGAATATGACGAATGAAAGCTACGGGAAAATGAGAGCTAATGATAATCACACGTCGCGATGAAGGATTGCACGATCTATGCAATCGCGCGCGTCAGCAGTTGATGACAATAAATTTCCGAATCGTAAATCCTTAGATGACAACGTCGAAAAAGTTACGAACAAATATGCAGTATCGCGCAACGTCCGTGGAAGTGAGTAATCGAAAAAGAAAAATAAGCTTGGAATCCGTATCGGCTCCGTAGATGTTTACGCGTAATTAGCGGACGAGCACTTGGCACGGTCGCGTGACGTGCGTTCCTCGCGATCGGGGGAAATCGAGCCGCACCAACTCTGCCATTCGCGCGACATGCATCAAACGCAGCTCTAAAAGTATCTACCGCCCCTCTCTAAAAGTAGATCTTTCGTTGCGCCGCGGCTCGAAAAAACAAACCGAACGATTTCACCGAAACACGCGGGATGCACGTACGCCGTACTGTTATTCGACGAACGTGATCACTGGGAAACGTCTCTCGGAATAATGAATCGCGATCAATCGGAAACGATCGATCGAACCGGGAAGCTCGGCTCACCGATTGACCCGCGACACGGAGTTACATAAATTAATTCTACATTAATCAAAGACTCGCATCTGATTCCGAATCATAATTGTCTGTGTGATTAATTATTATTTATGTAAAAACGAATCTTTTTATATTCTATACATTTTATTGGTGCTCCAAAATTAGATGCTCTCTTTAAGACTTCGTTTGATCTAAAATCCCACGATTAATATTGAAGAGATTTCTGTAAAAACTAATTTTAAATAGATAGCCGATAGGATTATGATTATTATCAAATTTTATTTTCAAATAGGTATGTATGTAGAATTTTGATTTGTTAGTCGTAATTATATAAAATTGCGGTGAACGACGGTCTTCTTTGATTTTTTTTCGCGAAGGGAACGTCGACCGCAAGTTGGCAGAAGAATCTGTAGCGAGAGAACATCCGGCGGTTTTCTGCGGATACTCCGCCTGTGTGTATTAAACGTTTACAAGATCCTATTTTTCATCCATCACGCGAGGAAATCTGCGAGAAATAGAGCGTGGGTCTATTTGCAGAAATACACTCGGTGGACGAAGGATTAAGTATTGCCCTCGCTCTAAAAGCAGAGGACCCCGTGGCGCCACGAGAAACAAACAGAAAAAGAGAGAGAGAGAGAGAGCGAGAGAAAGACAGACGGAGGAGAAAACGTGAAAACGCACGATTCCACCGAACGTGAAACGACCGCGGTGCGTTGGCCTGTCGTCGAGTAAATTATACGAGGAACGTGATAAGCATCGGGAAGTGCGTCGGAGCCTCTGAAAGTCGCTCGGTGTCACGAATTTTTCTACCGGGAGAGCAGAGTCGGATGCAGTCTCCCTCCCTTCTCGTATACCCTCCCTCATATGTATATGCGTGCGACATCCCATAAATAAGAGCGCTAATCAGTGACGCATTCTGAGCACGCGGCGAAGCGTGGTGGGGCTCGGACCTTCGCTCCCATCACCGCCCAATTTCTCGACAGTTTTACACACAATTATCGTTATTAAATAGCGCGACAAATAAACACGTTGTTGTACGCGTTTTTCGATTGAAATGCGATTGAGCGAGAGAAAAAAAGAACTCCGTCTGGATCCAGAGTGTCGCCGATCGGTCGTTCGAATAAATTTTGCGAATCCGCCGCGATATAGGAATAAGCATTTTCCACAAATCTCTCACTCTCTCTTTCTCAGCGTGCCGTTGATCGTTTCTATTCTCGCGGTTTATTTAAAGAGTTTCACGTGAGAGAGAAATTGTTGAGCCGCATCAGTTAGCCACTTCGCACGTGTGCCTCGAGATAATGCAAATGGAGCCCTCACTCGGATCCTTTGTTTCCGTCTTTCCTTTTTCGCGTTCCTCCCCCGCTATCGTGATAACTCCTAATCGCTACAGCTGTAAATCTAAGTGACAACCAGATAAACCAGATGATAAACCAGATAATGCGCCTCGTAAAATTATTTCGGACGAAAGCGTGGCGCAATCGCTATCGCCGCTCCGCCCGGGAAAGTATAACCGTCGCGCTCCCTTTCTCTTCCGGCCCTTACGAAGGCCCCCTTCTTCCTGCCCAAATCCTCGTAATTATCATCACGGCGTTAATACTGTAATACCGGCGCCAACCTGCACTCTCGAACGCGCCGCGACAGGCTCGGGAAAAACGGTGTGTGGCCCGCCGATGCCTCGCGGATAATTGATGGCTACGCGAGAGTTTTCCTGAAGAGCCACTCGCGGGCCCCATAAATAAGACTTAATCAGCAAGGAAAGGAGGAACGGAGAGAGAGGCGAGAGAGAGAGAGAGAGAGAATACCGGCTTTCTGGAGAGCCGGTATTCTCTCTCTCTTTCTTTTCTTCTCTCCAAAGAATTTATCTTTCTCTCACAGATTCGCTTCTCGCCAACCCTCCTCTGCTCCCTCCGTGCGTGACTTTTACAGCCGCCGAAACGAGCGATTTACAAATTCTAAATCCTCCCTTTGAGCGGTCGCTTATTAGTACGTTCGTTCGGGGGTATTTACGACATTGGCCCGCGATCAATTCCTCTCGGCAGTATCTTGGGAAGAAGTAATATATTGCGGATAGGAGATGACATTCTCTCTCTGTCTTTTTTTTTTTTCTTTGGAATGTAGCAGATCGTCATCTTTAAATCGAAATTCAAAACACGCCGGATTCTTGGCAAAATAAAAGTCGCACGCGCGAGGTGATAGCGGTGGGGAATGTTGCGGAACAGGCCTAACAAACAAATGAATTTATACATTTAATAATAATTATTAATTATGCTTATATATTTAACAAGGAACAGATTAGATTGCCCATCGTTTTTTTTTATCGGACATTAAGGGAAATTAACTTCTTAATTTATAGGGGTGTTCGCCTAAAATCGCGAGATCGGCGATACACGCGGGGACGTCTCGCCACGCTGCGGCCGATTTTGTCGGAAGGCCGAATACCGTTTCGTGACTCAGATCGCGGCCCGTGTTTGTTTATGCGCGACGAGTATCCATCCGGCGCGGTGTTCGTGAAAATCCCTCTGCCAACATATTCGTGTGGGCGAATAGCGCAGATCTTCCATTCGCGGTCGCTCGTCGCGGCCACCGCGCCGCGGAACCACGCGACGCGGCCGTGCATCTGCATCCGTAAATACGCGTGAGAGAATTGTGACAGCCGCGCGCGTCGGTCGGCCGGGAATTCAGCAGTTCCTGTCATTTATGCAATGCGACTTTTAAAGCAACCCCGATGAAATGCAGTTTCCGTTTGCTGCTCCCCTGGCAACCGCCTCGACGGTTTCGTCGAAAATTTAGCTCGAGCACGAAAGAAACTACGATCGCACGAATTATCAACCGCCCGTTGTTTTACGTCCTGTATCAATTTTATTTTAAAAAAATGTATGATGTATTATTCTAATTATATCCCAAGGTGACGTAGTAAATGACGTTTTAATAATGTCTTAATGACATCTCTAACGTTAGAGACATTATTGAAGAGATCAAGACATTAAGACATTATTGAAACGCCATTTGACGTCACCTTGCTTGGGATTACATTGCAGTTTATATATTTATCGTCAATGATTTATTTTAATTAAAAATTTAGTGTCAAGCATCGTGCGATTATGGGAAGAAAATTCTTTTTTTTTCTAGAAAAATAAGTGATAGAAGTGGTATACTGGTTTTCAGTTTGTTTACGGAAGAGAAAAAAAAACTGAAGCGATATGTTGGCGTATATCAACATCGACTTGAATTTAAATTCCTTTTCGGTTCCTAATCTGGTTTTGTATAAGGGTCACGAAAAGGTTCGTTCCCGTTTGCGGCGGTGGTGTAAACGGTAGACAATGGGCGAGCTGTTGTCCGCCGTCTCTAAACTTACCGTGAATATAATCTGTAAATCTCAAGGTGTACATGTAAGTGTGCGTCGAGGCACGAACGAGTCGACGAGCTGACGTTGACGGCGCGATGACAAAGCGAAACTGAGTCACGATTGCTCGAGCACTCTTGCGCTCTTGACTTTTCCGTGTCATTGTTGCGAGAATTCAATTGCAGCCTAAAACCTAAGAGAGACCCATGGAGTTTTTCCCTCGCGCGCCAATTAATGCGCAAGGACTCTGCCAATCGGTTATCCTCGGATTCGTTTCAGGTATCGCGCTTCAATGGCGGTATATGTTGCGTAACGCGCAACATTCTCACACCGGTAATTAATTGCATTTTGCCGAGGCGATATTGCCATTACATGGGTACTATATTATTATAGGATGCATTACATTCTACTAATAACGTTAACGTCTTCTCTCCTGGATAAGTGTCAAAGACAATTTATCATTTTCATAATTCGCGTCTATTATAATAGCATTTACACGTTTAATAGTGTAATGTCGCAATTAGAACTCGCTGATGGCCGTCGTACGTGACATAAAAATCGCCGGTCTCGAAGCGGAGCGGCGATGACGCGAAACTTTCCGACTTCCATTCACGGCGTTCTCGTTTTACGTAACAATATACGTGTAAGTCATCAACTCGGATTCTTTCTCGTTACAGAGCATCCGGGGAACAGGTCGAGCCACGGCTTTAGCCGGCGGGGCGGCGGGTACCATCACTCCCTGTACTTTCCCGTCGCGATTTCCGGCGCGGGCGCGGGGGACGTCACGGTCGATCACGCGTCCCTGAGATTCCTCCTCCAAGGCGATCACAGACGTCCGCGCGATCTCGAGGCGCTGGTCTATCTCCGCGCGCCGGCCTCGGCGGCGCGGCGTCTCCTGCTGCGCCGCGGGATCCCGCAGGGCGAGCATCCGACCGGCGGCAGCCGGTGGCTGGAGCTGGACACCACCGAGGCGGCCGCGAGCTGGCTCGAGCACGGCCTGGAGAACCACGGACTGGAGCTCGAGTTCCTGCACGACGGCCGGCCGACGCGGCGTGAGGTCGCCCACGCGACGTTGAACGTGTTCGCCGCGTCGGAGCCCGGCGGCGGAAGGAGGAAGAGGTCCACCCCCGAGGAGCTGATGCCGCTGCACAAGGGCCGGCGCAGCCGGTGCCGCGACAACAACAAGAAGTGCTGCCGGCACGAGCTGACGGTGATGTTCAAGGACCTCAAGGGCTTCGAGTTCATCGTGTACCCGAAGGGCTTCGACGCCGGCTACTGCAAGGGCCGCTGCCCGCCCCGTTACAACCCGGCGCACCATCACGCCCTGCTGCAGAGCCTGCTGTGGAAGGAGGACCGGAAGAGAGTGCCCAAGCCGTGCTGCGCGCCCAGCAAGCTCGACCAGCTGATGATCGTCTACTTCGACGAGAGCGGGAGCGAACAGCTGAAGGTGTCCAACTGGAACAACATCCAGGTGGTGGAGTGCGCCTGTTCGTGAAGATGGGGAAAGAGAGCGAAACAGTCTACCATGGCCGAGGACTCACCAAAGAATCGTCCGAATTGCGGTTCGGTGATGCCGCGCGCGCACGCACGCACACACACATACACACACACACACACACACACTCTCTCTCTCTCTCTTCTCTCTCTCTCTCTCGCGTTAAGATTATACTAATAATAATAAATATATTGATAATGAAATGCGAAAGTAAAAGAATGTACCGTCGTTCGAGCGACTTTTAGGATTCTCGTGCACCTCCGCGATCCCTCTAGACTTTCATAATTACTTCTCTCTCTTTTTTTTTTCTCTTCGTACGATTCGGACGATCCGAGGGCATCACCGAACACTTAGACCCTATAAAGGTCTCGCATCGACTGTGATACTAACGATATTTACTTGTCATTCTATTCCTTATTACATAGCGATCGTATTTTATATTATTAGAACATTCTCGTTGTTTCCCGGCTAAACGGAAGCGAATCGTCAGACAAATCATGAGCAACGACGACCACCGTTGGATCTGTCTTTCTTTTTTTAGCCGGGCGAACCTCCCCTCCCCTGTACGAAACACCATAACATCATCATGCATTTGTAACGAATACCTTCTATCTGTTAATTTATTTACAATCACGCTAGGCTTCTGCGAAACAAAAAAAAAATACGAGCGAGTCGATGTCTGTTAACGTATAACAGTTTTGTGACACAAGCTAAAGTCTTCGCTCTATCGAACCTGTTTTGTATCGAGGTTTCGTTTAGTTCCTATAGAGTATTACGACTGGAATCTCTAAGTGTCCCGATAAATCTCTCGATTTCCCCCTCCTCCTCCTCCCCCGCAGTCTTACGACGATTTCGCGCGAACACGTTCTCGCGAAAAATTCCAGTACATAAATATTTTCCGCGCGCCGATCGATGGCCGCCGCGCCCGGTAATCTCTCCATGCATGCGTGAGCATTTCGCGAGCTCTGTGAGATAATAATATTCGCATTTTATCTACGAAGTAATGTGTATTGTGTACTCATATCGAGCGTGCAACGAGATCGATGAGAAATGTTGTTTTTTTTTTTGCTTTAACGCGCCCGATGTTATCAAATTGTATAAAAATTTATGATCGCACTATTGTAAATTATAATCTAATCACCCAGCGGCGCTCTTTCACCCATCATTATTCCTGTACCTCTTATTGTCAACTTATTCGATGATGAAGATCCATTTAATATAGCGAAGTCTTAAATATATGATCTATCAGTTTTCAATAAAGAGACGCGCTTATTTCTCTTTCATCTCCCTGCACTGTGCGTTGGTATCTGAATAAATTGTAATTCAAAACAAAATTCGAATTGATCTTACACCAAGTAAAACGTTTTTTTCGTTACCAAAGTGAAAAAGACTTTTCACAATTTTCTTAATTTTAAATCGATACCTTAATGATAAAATCTCGAACAAAATTTATTAAAAGATAATAAAGGCACATTTCAAAGATTCGAAAATTTATAACATTATTTATTTTTATTGTAACTTTACAGGAAAACAATACACAAGATTGTCTTATTCTCTCTATCGATTTTTCTTTTCTTTTCGAAGAAACGTTTCTTATAATTGTCAACAATCTATCTAGGATATATTTTAAATCTTCAATAATTTATTCAATTCATTGATTTAATCAAGCGATCGAATTTCTTTTAAATAAAAATTCGATTACTTTCTGTGGAATCATTGACTGCTGCATCAACAAGAGATAAGACTTGAAACATGCCGTTTTCGTTACACTCGACAAATCGTCAAAATGATTAGAGCAGCATGTTGTTGCAAAATACATAATCTTAAGTACGATTCAAATATCCTGTCCTTCGAAAGATGCAAATTCAAAAATATTTAAATTCGCAAATTTAAATATTTAAATTTAGTAGTTAAATTCAGGGTATGAGGATATAAGGAGAACATGATTTGAAAGAGCTAATGCAAACTTATATCCAAAGCGGCGCGAATTTTAAAATGTATTTTTACAAAATACGAGCAGAATTTTCTCCTTACATTTCTATATTAATTTTTATCATTGATAAATCGAGATCTTCGGAAGCTTGGAAAGCTAATAATAGTCCAATCTAAAATTTACGTTAATCAATGATCGTTACACATAACTTTTAACAATTTTCAATAAAAAAAAGCTTGTTTATTTCTTCTACCTTCCACTTACTACTACTTTACGCTGGTATTTAACTAAATCATAATTTGAAATTACGTGAAATTAGAATTATTCTTATTTTCAGCAAAAATATCAGAGAAAATCATGTTTTTCACAATCTTACAAGTTTTTAATTCCTTATCTTAACAGCTGTTCAAATAATATTTAGAAATTCACAAAATTAGAACAAGTCTAGTGATTTATTAAGATTCCATTACTTTTATTATTTATATAGGTGTAGCCTTACAGACGTTTTCAAAATTAGAATCGTAAAACTAAATCGACGTCTCGAGTCGAGCGTTGTGATTTTATGAATAGAATGTAATGTGAAATCTACCATCGACGCGAGGGGTTATCTCGCCACGACAGCAATAAAGTTTCATTGAGCGTGACACCGCTGCTTACCCCGTTCGAGTTCGAAGGTTACCTCGTGTGCATTATGCAACCACGCGCATTCATGCCACGACTGTCACAAAAATACTATTTTCATAGCGGAAATTACTTATTTGGCCGGCTGATAACGGAGGAATGGAAAAGCGGTCTCCGCTATGTCTCTTCAATAAACACGCGAGACGCGAGCTTCATTCACAAACCGTAATCGCACGTCATTATTGATCGTAAATCAAACATAAATCGGTCAGCGACAATATTCGAGCGACAGCATCCGAGGATAATATCGGTAAATGAAACATTCCGCGGCAGTACTTTGAATACGAGAGAGAGAAAGAGATCTGGATTGAAAATTACATTTATAAAGACGACGGTTTCTTTTTCTATATACAGAGGTATATAAGATATAAATGAAGAAGTGTGAGTAACCTGTGAGATATAAATGAAATATTTTTTATCTCCTGGACGTTTTGCCGATTCCTCTCTTGCCGGAGAATAAATGCTTCGGCATCTTGTTGCCGATAAAACGATCGCCCTCGCCCTTGAAACCCTTCTTGGCTATCTTCTTCTTCTGCACTTTGTACGCCACGTTCTGCAGCTTCGCCTTCATCTGCAACAAACGAGAGCAAGGATAAAGCTACATTTTCACATTTATTGCGCAAATAAACATAATATGCTGATTTATAAATTAGAGAGCAGTTAAAACGAGATATTCAGTGCAACAATAATCTCCATTTTTCAAGGAAGTTGAATAACTCAATTTAAATTTGATTTTCTTCGATTTAAGATTAATTTTTTGAAAAATCTAGAGATGTAGATTAAATAATTGCTACGTTAAAATATATCCTCTAAATATCTTTGACTTACCTCTACATCTTTAACGCCCATGTCATTGCGCGGTGGTCTCGAAACGCTGCGGGCACGCGACTGCGACGCCGATTCCACACGCATGCGTTTCCTAGCAGGCTCTGAACGCGACCTAGACCGGCCTCTCGTTCGTGTGAAGTGTGCCTGTAATTATAATTAATCCAGAATATAACATAATATTCAAGATACAATAACATTAATAAATTACGATGCAACAGCGGAATTAATCTCTGTGAAATTGGACCCACTTTTTTACAATTCAAAAAAAATAATCAGAATTCCGATTGCCCCCCGAAGGGTCTAGAGTTCTCTATCGATTTTAGAGAGTTCCGTTAATTAAAGCAATAAAAACACCATTTAAAGACAGATTAAAGGGGCGGGGGGCAACTTCACATTTCTGTAATTTTAAAAGGCTTATTATATAAAAGGCTATAACTTTTTTGTTTTTCATTTTGACGCGATTTTCGATCATTGAAGATAATTGATAAAACTCTTTGGGGATAAAACTCTCTATCAAAACTCAAGAAATTGCCGGAATTAAAAAAAAAAATTTGAAAATTTTCGAGTACTTTCCATATCAGCCAAAAAATTATTTTTTCGAATTAAAAAAAATAGGACTAACTTCACAGAGATACTGAATTGACAGTACGATGTGAACAAGTGCCTTGAACTATTTGCTTTGAGGACACTTAGATTATATACGCAACACTCACGTTTTCGGTATCTTCCATATCCACGCCTAGCTCCTCCATCTGCTCCTTCAGCCTCGTGACCGATCGGCCGCGGGTCTTAGCCGCGGCTGTACGCGGCAGAACCGGCTTCGTGGAGGCCTTCGTTATTCGCGCCTCGTCCCTCATGACGAACTTCTTCTCGCGAATCTCCTTCGCCAGCTTCTCGATCTCGCGCATCGTCTCCGTCAACTCCGGCACCTTGTAATCGTAGAAGCCAGCCTCCTCTCTCAACTGCTCTTCCTTCTCCAATTGATTCAATTTCTGAAAACGAAAGAACGGTATTATAGAAACACGTTTTGCGACGATCTCGATGCAATTAGACAGAATCAAAGTTTGCCGACTGACTTCGAAGATATCCAGGTCTATGTAATCCGCTATATTATGGCCCTCCCATATCTCCGGGATAACGTCGTACTTCTGATCTCCCTCGATATCGTAATTCTTCTTCAGATCGAGCACGTAGTCGTCTCCCATCTCCTCCTCTATCTCCCTCTCCAATTTGCGCTTCCTCGCGGTTTTCTCCGCGGCGGCCTGCCTCTTCTTCAGCACGCTCTCCGGTATGCACGGCACGCGATTGGGATCCACCTTTTTCGGTTGAGCGATGTGCAATTGGTTGAGAAGCCCCTCCACCTGTAATCGTTAACGAAATCATTACAAACGGCATGCCAAACGTTTTCGAACGTTGAAGCAGTGTCTACAATGAGACTTAAGATCCGTTGGGTTAACTAACCTTTTTAGTCCTGATCTTTTGATCGACTCGGTAGGCCAGAAGTCGCTCGCAAGCCTCCAGCTTCACTTCCATCACGCCGAAATCGGTGACGGTGCTCATTTCCATCACAGGCACATTCGCGTCGTCCTCGAGCGGCTTCAGAACAGCCCTCTTCTCCGGGGATAGCTCCTCCAAACGTAAAATATCCACTTTGTTCAAGACTACCATCAGAGGCTTGTTCGTGAATAAAGGCTTAATGGATTCAAAAAGTTTCACCTACGTGAACAAAAAGAAAACACAAGGTTTTTACCACGTTGTGTTAAAACTCACAAGCGTTACGTTACATTCCGTAACTCACTTGTTCCTCCAGAGTATGGCCGCATTGCTCCGACAGGTCGTAGAAGTAAAGCACAGCGGCTCGCAGGTGAGCGAGAGCAGTCACCGCCTGCATCTCTATGACGTTTCTCTCCTCCAGCGGATGATCCAATATCCCGGGTGTGTCTATCACTTGCCATCGCAAGTATTTATAATCGGTATGCCCGACGTACAGGGATTTCGTCGTGAATGCATACGGCTGAACCTCCACATCGGCTCGAGTGATCTATAAAATAAATCACAATTACATTAAATACTGCTTGTACGCCTGTACGAAATAACTTAACTAAATAATTTATTGTATAATTAAATATAATTATTCAATAAAATTTAATTATAAAATTATATATTTTTACTTTGTTAAAGAATGACAATTACATTAAATACTGCCTGTACAAACTACTTGTGCAAAATAATTAACTAAATAAAATTAAATATAATTATAAAATTTAATTTTAATATTATTTTAATAAAATTTAATATTATTAAATATAATTATATAATTATATAAATTGTATAATTATAAAATCAATATGTATAATTACTTTGTTAATAAAACTGCTCTTGCCGACGTTTGGGAACCCGCATATGATTATCGTGCGCGTGTAAGGGTCTATGCTTGGCAGTCGAGCCAAGTGCTGACGGACTTGCTCGAGGTACGTCAAATTGGCCGCCTGCCGCTTCATAATGGTGGCCATTCGGCCCAGGGCGGCTTTCTTCAGTTGCTTACACCGATACAACGTATCTCCGTACTTCAAGAGACGAACATAATCCTTCGCTACGCTGTAATGAAAAATACAAATCTCGCACGGTGTTGCATGGCGATTTGACATGCTACACGTAAATCACTTGTTTCCTTACTTGTCGATCAAATGCCTCGCTGTGTTTATCTGCCCGAGCGCCAGCTTGTAGTGATCCTTGTCGTACAGGACGTTCATCAGGTCGGCGTAGAACGGATGGACGTCGTCCAGCTTGGGGAACTCCTGTATTATCTGGGATAATCTGTCGTGGAAGTTCTGCTGGGTGAACTTCACCTTCCGCGTGTAGAAGGCGCGTATCCTCGTGATCTTGTACTGCTTGTGCACGACAGTCGGCGTCTTCCGTTGTGTCTTCGACAGGATTATGTCGATGAAGTCCTACGACGAAAGAGGCAATAGTTATTTTACTCGGTTTTGCGAAAAGCTATATATATGTTATACAATGCAAGACTAATGGTAATAAATATTACAATGTAAGTGTACGAAATTACGGATCACAGATATATGTAACTAACCTTCGCGGTTGGGACAACCGCAATTTTCTTGAAATTGTACAAAACCATTTTTCTTTGGTTTACTGAACCGTGCGTCAGAGAGGCAACGTTCTTCTTCCTTCTCTTTTAATAAATATCTGCCCCCTCGGGAAGACGCAGGACGTTCCAGTCCCTTCGACCGCTCCTTTTACTCAGGCAAGCACCAGCACGTGTCTCAAGCTCGAAATCATCATGGCGGCGGCCTTTTTCGTGGCGCTATCAGAACGACGATATTATCGACAGGATCGTGAAAATTGTAATGTTCCGTCAGAGAGAAGCGCGAGAGAGCTCTGGGTTCTGTTGTGGGTAAACTTCACAATGGCGCGACTTTTAAAAATGCGACAGCTTTGGAATTACGAAATTTTTTTGTTTTGAAAATTTGATGCTGTTGAAGATGACGCAATTAATCAAATTTGCAAATCTTTGTAACACAGAAATTATTCATGCATTTCGTTACCCTGCCTTGGCAGTTTGCAAGTCAATCTCAGTCAATCTGCTCCGATCTGCAGCGGGCAGCCACGTGCCGCGCGTGCGCGTGTGGAAGCCTCGAGCTTGGCACGACTGACTCTCGCTCTCTTTCAACGTGTGGACGTTCGTCGCTAAGGTTAGCGAAATTTTGCATCCCGAAATATTGTCGCGATCCGTTCGCGAGCAAAGAAATTCGAACGACGTGCTCGTTCTGACAACCAATTTCGACCTGTAATTCGCTATATATCGAGATATAATTCGCGCGTATTTACGTAAAACGAATGTCGCCGTGAGATAACCTCTAAGAAGGAAAATCGATCTCTGTCCATAGGATGGCTCCGAGATACGAGTTGGCCGTCGGCCTCGACAGGGGTCACAAGACGACGAAGATCCGCGTGGCTAAGAGCAAGTCCGAGAAGGAGAAGACCGTCTGCCTGCGACCGTCCAGGCTGAAGGGGGTGAGTGGATGGCGTGTAACCTCTCTCTCTCTCTCTCTCAATCTTTCATTGTTATTGTGCGGCGTGTCGAGGCGTTGACACACCGTAATTTATTACTAATTTATTATTTAAATAAACGGAGCGGCTGAGAGAGTGAAACGTCCTGTGTCTTCCCGAAAGGGCAGATATAGGCATATACCTATATTTATCTTTTCTGCCTCACGTGTTGTAATCCCGCGATTTCTCATTGCAGAAGCAAACCAAGCACAGCAAGTTCGTGAGGGACCTGATCCGGGAAGTCACCGGGCATGCCCCTTACGAGAAGCGCGCGATGGAGTTGCTGAAGGTGTCGAAGGACAAGCGCGCCTTGAAATTCTTGAAGAGAAGGGTAAATGTTCATCTTATTTTGGTTCTTCGCATAAGTTTCAGATAATTCACAGTTTCAGGAGTATAGTAACGACTAACGTCATATATAATGTGAGCAGACATTTCTGGATTTGAAGTGGGATAGCTTTATGTTGGAGGAAAAGGGGAAGAATATATAAATGTAAAGATAAATAATAGCAATTTATTTTTTAAAAAGTAATTTTATATTTTGTTTGGCAAGAGAAACAATCACTTCGAAAGTGGAACGTCTGGTGACATTAGTCGTATAATTTCACTTCATGTTTTATGTTTTGTTTTATTAATATTTTAACGAAATACTGATAGTTGGATCAAAAAATATGTAACGAAAGGAACTAAAAAGATGCTCAAATTTTTAAAATGTTTAATATTATCCACTGCCGTAGTAGGAAGTTAATATTGCGGGGCAAGTTATTTTGTTTAAAAATGTTGAATTTTTTTAGACAAGGAAAAATAGAAATTCTCAGGGTTTAAAAAAATTTTTTAAATGTTTTTTCTAGTTGGGTACACACATCCGTGCCAAGAGGAAGCGAGAGGAGCTTGGAAATATCCTGGTACAGATGAGGAAAGCAGCTGCTCATCATTAATTGTATCCGCTAAAATTATAAACCGTTATATAATACTTGAATAAATCAATATTTCACATCGATAAATCTGCATTATTATAATTAATAGACAATAATTAATAAGGAACGAAACTTTTGTCAACTAGAGTCTAATATTGAATTTAAAAAATGTCAATTATAGCATAAAGAGAGAATGATTAAAAGACAAGTCGATATTAGCAATATTTAATACTAGTTTATTTTGACAATAGTTAATTTAAAAACAGACGCTGATTTGCTAAAATTTTACACACCTCTCGTAAGAGATAGACTAAAACTAAACCCCAGTTCTCAGTTGGTTTCCGTGGTGTAGTGGTTATCACATCCGCCTAACACGCGGAAGGTCCCCGGTTCGATCCCGGGCGGAAACATTATCTTTTGTCTGGGAGAAGAATACTAGATACATTTTTTTAATGCATCATTAAAAAAATTGTATTTTTAAATTAAGAATTTGATTAATTTTACGTCAAATTACTTTCATTTTTTTAATTTTTTTTATAATTGTATTTGTTTTTAATTCATTTGCATAGCAATGTAAAAGATAAAAATATTTTATATTAAATTTTATGAAGTACCTAACTAAGCTTTAATTTTAATATATTTTATATTCATAAATTAAAGTTGAAATTCAAAGGAGAATGAAAAGGATTTCTTGAAGATACAATATATAATTGTCTCTATTTATTAAAATATAAATAGTCTGGTATAGTAAGAGTAACATTTCTAATATGGTTGTGCCTACGTTTTGTACAAAAAAAATATACAAAAGGACAATCTCGAAGACTTCTAATAATGAAAAGAAATAAAAAATAGTTTGTTGAGAGTGTTGAGGCATGCGAAGAGCTACACGCGTTTAGTCCAAAGCATCCGTGTGTATTTGCAAGTGAGAATGAGATCAAAATTCCCGGAATAGTTCCTGCATTTCGTGCCGAAGTGTACAAGTGCTCGGACAATATAAACGTCCTAAATTTAAATTTACATCATTTTATTACATACGATATTCTAAAGTACTTGCTATTGTACAAATTTATCATTCTTTCCTTAAGACAATTAGACCAAGAAGCTAAACGAGAGTTGAGGAACATCGTTCGATACCTTCGAAAAATCGTAAAAGTTATTAGGCAAACATGTTGGGGCAGGAGGTTGTAAGAAGTGGCACAATTTAAGTTTAGCGCTCTCTGGATAATTAAACGACGTCGGTAATTATAAATAGGTAAATTGACCAACTGCCTCACCGACCGTCGCTAACAACGGCGTTTTGTTACGCGAAACGCGCGAAATTATCAAATTTAATTGTGTCACCTGTTGTAACCTCCTCTCCCCTAACCTCCTCTTTAAAGATGTTTTTTCGTTACGTTATTCAGAAAGTCTTTTCGTATTTTGAGTCGCCCTACTTGATGCGTCTGCATTCAAAGCAAATCACGTAATCTAGCTGTGTAATGGATTTTATTATCTCTAGTCGAACTTATAATATAGACATTTTTTAGATTGATTAAGAAGACTGTTAAAGAAAACTAATGCGACAACGTAAAAGACAGTCCATTTTTATACTTTTACATCTTAATGTTTGTATTGTAATATATACAATATATGTATATATTATATATATATATATATATTACAATAGATGCATAATACAATAGCAAAAAATTTTTTGGCGAAGCTTCGCTAAATTGTTTTATTCAATAGTATATATATGCCTTGTCATTTTTTGTAATAATAAACATTTTATTTTATTTTTAGAAATTACAAAATATATAATATTGTTAACAATAATTATATAAAATTTTCGATAGTTTCAACTTATCAAAGACATATGTCACACAAATACTGATAGGTCTACAAGAAATTTGTTACATGATTTCAAGACTGTATAATATTCTATTTAATCAATTATTATTCTAATTATTCCAATTATTATTCTATTATTTAATCAATTATTATTCTAATAAGCTTTAAGAAGTATAAATATAAGTATTCCATAATAATGGGTATATAAATATGTCTATTCTATAATTTTAAGTTTTCTACAATACAATTTGTTTGCGACATTGAACCTTATATCTTGTTTTTTTTTATCATTACACGTCCACATGTATTTTCCTATTCAGTTAATAACACATAACGATAACACCTAGCAGTTCAACTTCGGTTAAATGGATAGTTTTGTTATTTAATCTGACTAGAGAATAAAATGTTTGTACAAAAAAAATGTAGTACGTGTGAACGTAAGTATAAGGAGTTAAGTGTGATAACCTAATGTTAAAAATAGATAATAATTATCTGTATTTCTAATGTTTTTTGTTCACTGTACATCTTTTTTTTACATGATCATAGAATAGGAATACGAATCATAGCACAGTTATTTTACGTTGTTAGGAACTCTGATTAAAAAAGTAATTATTACAAAGTACAAGTAGTACAATTAAAGATTAAACTGTTAAACAACGTTATATAATTACGCTTAATTATACAAAATATTTTCGGATTTTTTTGTCGAAAAGTTCTACGTGTATCATCTTCTTTCAAATGATGATTATTATTATCGTCGAGGACACATTATATTATTAGTTTGTTACATACTTTTGAGAACTTAATTCTGACATAGTCAGATCACTAATAAATATATTGTTTTATTATAATAATTTACATAGATGTTTGCGTCGAAATAATATATGTAACAATATCAAATATTAAATATGGAATTCGTAGAAAAACAAAAATTATATTTAAAAATTGCAAAAGTAAAAAATGCAAATTTTTGAAAATTTGTTATGAAAAACCTGCATAAACATGCGGCCTTTTAATTATCATTATAAAACAATGTTATAATTAGACTCTTGCAAATCTGTTGATGGGCCGACTGGCAAATATTTCCACAATAAACAATTCAAATTATTTTCAATAAATTATAGATTTAATTAATAACAATTTTAAACAACTAAAAAATTTGTGCAAAGTCTTTCATTCTCTGAAATTTATCAGTTAAAACATTTATATCATGTGTGCCTCACATATCTCTCAGACACATAAAAACCTAAATATTTTTATACATATAACAGGCTAGTAAAATATATATTTACTTGAATTCATTAACATATCTTATCTGAAATTGAATAAGATATAATACATTTAAAATTATGTGTGATATATCTTACCATTCCTATAAATTTTTACATTTTTTTCAACAATTTTCTCCTATTTAATGTATATATGCATACATAGTTTGCATATATAATATATATATATACAAAATCTAATTTGTACGGGAGCTCTTATGCTCCATTCTTGTCACGATATTTTCACATATTGTAGTGTTTTACTAAAAATTATTCAGTTCTAACATGTATAATAAATGTCGATGTATTTCCTCAGTTGTATTCGCAAAGATGTCCACAACCAGTAGGACACTGTCGATTGTTATTAAACCATTCTCTCATATGATTAATGTGACCTCCGTGCGCACAACCTTGACACCATACGTAAACACCACGTACTACCTGCACGAAAAATAAAATTGATCATAATAAATATAGCAATTTTCCTATCTATTATACTGAAATTATAATCAAATGCAATTAAATAATTTCCATATTAATTGTAATAAATTATCACACAATTGTGATAAATTTATTAACAATAAAAAGATTCCCTTTTAAAACAATATAATTTCTTTTTATGATCCATACGATAAGGCAATCAAATTTTTGAGAAAAGATTCGTATATGAATGATTACAAATATAATATATAATGTAAAAGCAAAATAAAATATTTCGCGTTTGGTAACATTATAATAAAAATAATCATAATAAATATAGCAATTAATAGGAATAGTCTCTTGTATTGTAATTTCCCGCGTGCTTTTTTTTTAGTTCTCACTCTGAATAAATACAAATTACTTCATGAATTTAAATGAGAAATTTCTCTAACCTGATTACAAAGGGAGCACAAAGCGTGCTCGGGCGTATGACAATGATCGCACAACCATCCGGATCGTTGCAGTGATTTTGTGCATGCTACGCAACACGCGTGTATCGTAGTCGACTGTTGATTCAATTGCGATATGGAAGGGATCCACGACAATTGTATTATCTGTAAATAAAATTTTTTATGAAATCTATTTGTCATTTATGAGTAAAAATTTTCGAAAAAGAAGTACATAGTATTTCATTGCGTAATAATTAAAAGAACAAAAATTCTACAAGATATCGTGAGAAATTTCGTGTCGGTTGCAAGACAATATAACGCAATTATTTGTAATAATAGACAAACCTGTGTAGCCACATGCCAGAGCTTAAATTTGCCGAGCATGTCCAAGTATTCTAATATCCAATGTTCCTGCAAAGCTACGGGGATGTTCAACTTTTTCCTTATTTCTCCTAGGACGATGAGCATCGACACCGTCGTCTGTACATCTCTGATTGCCGTGTGATAGCGCAGCCCCTCCAGAACCAGAGGTGTAAAATTAAAGGGCTGAGGCTTAGGTAGGACCGGAACTACCAACTGAGGTTGATCCTCGACTATAACGGAGGCTGAATTCTCGCTGAGATCGGGAGGATGATTGGGAAATTGTTCCGGTGGCGGGGACCGATCCTTGATCTCGTGCCGTAGAGGAAACGCCTCCTTCTGCAGCTCCTTGGTCCAATCGTCGTCCTCCATGCGCATCACAGTTTGCCTACTTTCGCCGGGATGCTCCAGAGACACGGGTTCGTATTCGGTCTCGCCGAAGATAAAGTCGCCTCGCGACGTCGAAGGTATATCGCTGAGCAACGGTCTCCTGTAATAATTAGAAATAAAATACAATTAACAATAAAATATACGTAAAATCAGGCAATTAAGAGTTCCACGTAGATGCGATAATTGATTTCTATTGGTGTAATTAAAGCACTTGATATTTTTAATCAGTTTATTTCTACAAATTAATAAAGTATTAGACTCTTGAAATAATACAACAATAAAATAGGCAACAATAAACTCAGGTAATTAAGAGTCCCACGCAGATTTTAGGACGTAAAATTCTTTCAATTTATTCCAACTTCAAGTTACATAGAAATCCTCCGCGAACGGAAGCTTGAATGAAGCCGAAACGTTCGCGAAGGATTTCTATGTAACTTGGAATAAATTGAAAGAATTTTACGCCCTAAGATCTGTGTGGGACTCTTAATTGCCTGATTTTACCTATTTTATTGTTGTATTATTTCAAGGGTTTAATACTTTATTAATTTGTAGAAATAAAATGATTTAAAATACTTTAAGTGCTTCAATCACACCAGTAGAAATCAATTAGTTTCGGGATACACGCACGCAATATTCCAAAATTTACTTAAATTTATGTATGCCAAATTTATATGTTATAAAAATATTACACAATTGTACCTCGGCAGAACAGTTTCCGTATTAGTCGACGGTCCCATGATATTTTGATTCTCCGGCGCTTCAGTTTCCGTTTCAGTCTCATCGTCACCGCCACTGGCAGCGCCCGCAGCATTTTCCCCTTGAAGGGATTTCGCGTCCTGTTCGTGACCTGAGAAAAATAATAAATTGATGCAATTAAATGCGACGCGGTAATAGAATATTAATATAATGTTCATGATATTCCTGTCTGTGCTTACTTGATTGTTTACTCGCGTTTGATTGTTCCATGCCGGAGCTCTTTGTTACTCCCGGTACTATATTCGACGTATTCGCTATGTCTTCTTTAGGCGCCGTCGGTGCACTCTTTTGGAGTATCTCGAACGGATCTGTATACATGGTTTTTAAGATTTGCCACGCTTTGCTAACCTATATAGATATAAGATTATTATTATTAAATACATTGGATTTATTATAGATATTGTATGTAGAAAACAATATTTTTTTCTCTTACAACAAAGTTACCAAAGTCGTGTGCAACGCGTGCATTGTGATCGCAGGCTTCACTGAAATTTCCAGAAAGCAAATAATTCTCTGCGGCTACCTTGAACCAATTCGGCTTTTGTACACATCCACGGAATCTATGCATTACACTTAAAGCCATGCAGAAGGTGTCATCATTTGTAACAGGCGTTCTCCTGCAGAGCAAAAGATCAAAGATGTGTAGTTAAATAAAATTAAATAAGACAAAAATTGACTTTGGTGTAAAAAAAATTCTTTTTTTAGCTAAAAAAAAAGCTGGCTATCAATGTTAATGACTCGCATTGGCACTTAAATTAATAACAATTTTGTTTATTCTATTTTACCTATCGTGGTTTTTATAATCAATACTTTTACGATATATCTTGACAAAATATTCACCTCATTAGATAACTTAGCTGTCTCGCAATACTCGCTGGTTCATATTTCACCTTAGAAGCGCATGTAATATCATGTTTCAGATTTATTGCAACGCTCTGTGGATTCGCTTTGCTGGCCGGCCTTACTGCATCGTCGAAAACGTGATGGTACAAAGTGCAGTCCTACAAAAAAAAAAAACAAAAGCATAAGGATGAGAATCGTGCTGTATATTGTAATGAAAGAGCGAATAATGGTCGGGGGTATTACTCTGCTCGTTGACAGGAACGATTGCGGGTTGCCTCTCCATGCCACACCCGTGGGAACGTCTTTATGCTCGTTGAAGCTCGCGAATGGAATGTACGGTCTGCGAATATCCCATACGTTTATGCTGCAATCGACGACTAGAGCGCAGCTGGCTATGTGATACTTTTTCTGAGGTCTCCACTTTATACGTCCCACTGAGGCGATAGTGTGTATGGTGTAGTCGCAACTTGGTTTACCCGATAAGTCCCAAACCTGCGTAGAGTTACAGCGATATAAATATAAAATTGTAATCGTAGATTCCACAAAAGTGCGCATTGACATACAGAAAGTTATGTACCTTGATAGTTTTGTCCCTGGACGCTGTGGCAAGCCAAGTAGCTTCCGGATGCCAGTCGCAGGCGAATATCGGGCCACTATGCGCGGTGAAATGCTGAAAGTAACGATCCGGTTTTCTCATATCCCACTGCTGTACATGACCGTTCTCAGACACCGCGGCAAAGGTGTGAGGTTGTTGCGGACAAAATTGGACGTCTCTCACAGATTCCGTGTTACTAAAAAAAACATGAACATATAATTATAACCATCTATCAAATTAAATAAAAAGTCTTATTTAAGTCAAACAACGCTAACAACGATAACTAAGCTTGCGTGGACCATCTATGCTGTAACATAAATTCATGCAAATTATATTTTACCTATAAAAAGTTTTGATAGCCTCTTTTATTCGCAGATCGAAGCATTTCATGGTACCGTCTTGCGAGCCAGATATCAACCACATGGGTTCCGTCATGTGGAAGCTTACTTTATTCACGGTTCTCTTGTGATCTACGAATACGTGATCCTGTTTCGATCGAGACTGCCTGTTCAGGTTCCACAAAACGACCGCACCGTTTGTCGCCGCAGTCGCGAGTATATGATCTGCAATTTAATAACACGTTATAAGATAATTTGGTAAACTACATTAAAATATAATGTACTTCACTATTATATAATGTACAAAGAAAGAGAAAATTAAACTAAGTACATGCATAAAAATGGATGTAAATTAAGCTAGAAAAAATTCAGAAATATATGTCTATTATATCATTAATTTGTTAATATAAAATTCAATATAAAAATAATGTATTAAAAATATATATTATAAGATTAATTAGATTACCATCATTAAGATTCCAAGCAACATCGTTGCAAGAAAAATTCAGGTTGAGATTTTTTCCAACACGAAGATTGCAAGCTTCTTCAAACCTATCCTCCAGCAATGTGAATATTTTGAAAACTGCAATAAAATATTGCTGCGATATAAGTCTCATACATGAGTTATACAGTAATATTACACACAGTAATATTACAAGATGCAAATTATTATTGCTTTTAGAAGTAGAAAGTTTAATAATATAAACTATATTAATTATAAAGCGTTTTTTATTTATATCGATCATTGTAGTAAATCTGTAGTACATATCCTAATTATTTTGTAGTATATCTTATCTCAAGCTAAAAACTCACCATTGCGACCGGCTATCACAACCTGGCTGTTATCTTTGTTAAGGGCTAAGGCATTTGCCGGTCCTTCTTGAGCGACGCATATAGTTCTCGACGTCATGCTGTAGTTTTTCAAACGAAAAAAATTAAATTAATATAATTATCATTGTAGTATTAAATTATTATTAGCAATTATATTCATACCTTATAATCACAGCTTATAATTCCTGTCCTGTTGAAGGCCCAGCTGTACACGCATTCACTTCACAGTGTTGTATGTAGCATAATTCATTTTGGTAGGTGCAGTTATAATACCTAAACATACATATATATAGAGATATACTTTGGAGTAGTTCGTGTTTGTCGAAAATTGATTTTTAATTATCGTAAGAGAATAAATTGTAGAGATCAAATTTTTATACGAATTTCCTTACCTTTCCTTTTTTCAAGAAAGAAAAATTTCTTTCTTTCTACGTTTTCAGACTCCTCGTTCAATAGTAATAATCGTTGGATGGGAGAGTGGACCTCGTTTTTAGAAGGTACTTCAGGAGACGAAATTTTACTTTATACTTTTAGGGTACTTCACGGAACTTTACTTTATGGTGCTTTTGGACTAGAAACTCATCAGAGTGCTTCCAAGTGAAAATTCGAACGCCTTTTTTTGGGGTGGTCAGGTGCATTCAGGTGGGGGGAGCCCGAACGCACTTTCAGATTAATCTTTTCGAGATTATCCTGCGATTGTCTGAAATGCAGTTCAGCTGTCCATAACCACTTCGGAGCGGGATGACACAGCGCAATGTTCGGTGCATCTATTTCTCTCGCTTGCGTGTAAATAAAATTAGTATTCATGTATGCGTACGTATATATATTCAATATATAAATTTGCAGAAGGGAGGAGCGAGGGAGAGATTTCGACACGCGAAACTGAGGGTGACTCCGGTAATTCCGAAACTTCCGATTAACTTAACCGGCGATCGACTTGTCGAGCAAATATCTGTTCAGGCGAACGGAATTATCAATCTTTTGGCTATTAAATGGAAAAGGAAAAAGATCCGATCGGGAATCGCCGAATTGTGTTGCAAAAAGCAGCATTCTGCCGGTTGAATCAATCGTCAATCGATCGACCTGATCGGAGCTTCGTCGAGGGTAGCCTTAAAGAAAAGGGAGCACACAGAGGTAAAATACACACACATCACGTGCGTCACGTCGAGCCGAGGGCATATAATTGATCGCGGCGGATCGCGACGATCGTAACGTAATTTACGGGCGTAACGTGACGAGCGCGGGGCGAAACGTGACGTTCAACGCGATGGCGTGTAAACGGGTGCCGGGCAGGCCGGGCTGCGTCGAACGGACACGAGGTTGTCATGGGAAGGAGTTTGAACGGCAGGTCGAAGCACGCGCTGAAACGTCCGCGCGAGCGAAGAAAAAAAAAGAAGCGACCGACGAACCCACGGCGGGCGCGCGAGACGATCGCGGGCGTTGATTCGCACGCGGGGCGCCACATGAGAACCCGCCGCGCGCCGCGCGGCAGCGCCGTCTGCGAACCGGCCGTGACGATCCTCGTATAGCCCGCTGACGGCGCTGACTGC